GCTCTGGTGAAATAAATTATTATAATGGAACATTAAAAAGTGGTCTGTTTTTCTTTTAAAATATATATATATATATATATATATATATATATAATTATTATAAATTAATTGATTTAAAATATGTTTTTTTCCGCTACACAGTTCTAACCATGTTTCAAAAATAGAAGCTAAAAGCCCAATTTAATTTTTTTCAATTAAATTAAAAGCATTAGTTCCATTTCATCCTCAAGCGAATTTTGGAGTAACTTTTAAAAATTACTGGGTTTTAAAGACACAGCTAAAATCACGTTTCCATGGTTACAGAATATTCTACTTGAATTGGACAAGGGATATCTAGGTATTCCTTATGTCAGTATTGTATCAGTTATTAGCTACAATTTGGTAAGGGGTAGGGATGTATTTTTCAATGAAAACTGATATCCGTTCAATGCATGTCGTCTGGATTTTTTTTTAAAAATTATTGTTAATGGTAAAAATTCTTACTGTTCTTTTTTTTTATATATATATATATATATATATATATATATATATATATATATATATATTTATAACTTTATTTTTTTTCCGGATAGATGCTTCGTTTTATTGTAAACAGTACTTATTCTAGTTATCAGCCGGCTTACACAAGATTACTTAATCATGCATATTTTCTTCCTCGAGTTTTCTTGAGTACGCAATATGGTAGAAGAAATAAACACTGTTTCAAATAAATGGAGTGTCTAATCAAATATGGGTAACCACAAAAATTAACGTTTGAAATAATAAAAAATAATATATTGCATGAAGCAAGGCTGCAAACCAAATAAATGCAGAAGAAGTCATGGACGCCATGATAATTTGTCTTTTGAATCCTTTTTCTCTTTCTTTTTCAAATTTAACACCTTTTTCTTTTTTTATTCATTTTGATTCAATATTCATTCCTTTTGTTTTTTGTCCTTCTTCAAATTCCATCCATTTTTCTCTAATTCATTCTGATTTATCAGCCATTTTTCTTCTTTTATCCATCTTTTTTTATTTTCTCTTTCTCTTTCTTCAAATTCAATCTCTTTTTCTTTCTTAATCATTCTGATTTAATATTCATTCTTTTTCTCTTTCTCTTTCTTCAAATTAATTCCTACTTCTTTCTTTTTCATTTTGATTCATTAATCATTCTTTTTCTTTCTCCCGATTCTTTTTCAAATTCAATCCTTTTTCTTTCTGATTCTGTTATTCATTCCTCTTTCCTCTTTCTTCTTCAAATTAACCCCTTTTTATTTATTCATTCATTCGGATCTAATATCCATTCTTTTTCTTTTTTTATTTTGTCCTTCTTGAAATTGCAGCCATTTTTCTTTCTTATTCATTCTGATTCATCAGTCATCCTTTTTCTTTTTTGCTTCTCTCTCTTTTTTAAATTCAGTCCCTCTTTCTTTCTTATTCAATTTTCATTCTTTTTTCTTCATCTCATTCTCCGTCTTCAAATTTAACCTCTTTTTTCTTTCTTATTCATTCTGATTTAATATTCATTCTTTTTCTTTTTCTCCTTCTCTTTCCTCAAGACCAATCCTTTTTTCTTTTTTTCCTTCTCCCCCCTCTCTTCATCCTCAGTTCTTTCTTTTCTCCCTTTTCTCTCTCATCATCTCTTTGCATGTCTGTATGGGTGAAGTGCAATACATTACTTCCTGCTATTTCCATTCTGCACAGGCTTCAATTTCTCTGTTTTTCTCTCCCGGCTTTTCTTAACTCTCTCCCTCAACCCTCCTTTGAGTTGGCTCGCAACCAACTGTTCCTACTTCCATTAATCAATAAACCTTCTTCAGGTAACAATCATCACAATCAACAAGTGCAAGCATCATTCCTCTCATTCTCGTAGACCATCGCAGATTTACCAATTTTGCCTTAATGTAACTCTAATGTTTACAACAATAAAGAGTCCGATTAAAATTTCAGTTGGGGGGATCATATGAATCGTTATCATCTTTTAATGATGTTTTTGTGATCAGAAAAATTCAGGTTGTCATCTCGAATATTATCAAAATACTGACAATAGTGGCAAAAGTCATAACAGCCACTTCATTATCGTGGATAATTATAATAATGATTTATAACTAAGAAGACAGGTTAATGAGAACAAAGTCATTTTTGGTGGAACAAACGTTGGACAAAACAAACAATATATGAAAAACCTTCTTATCTCATTTCATTCTAAATATATTAAGTTTGTGCATCTATCTATCTATCTATCTATCTATCTATCTATCTATCTCAGTCTCTTCATTTCTTTCTATCTATCTATCTATCTATCTATCTATCTACCTCATTTTGTCCATATCTATATATCTTCCTCTATTTGTTCATTATCTCTCTTTTGTGAAATATCCATCTCAGCCTGTTCAAATCTATCTATCTATCTATCTATCTATCTATCTATCTATCTATCTATCTATCTATCTATGTTAGTCCATTCATATCTATCTATCTATCTATCTATCTATCTATCTATCTATCTATCTATCTATAGCTGTCTGTCTGTCTATCTATCTATTCATAGATATCTGCTACTTTGTTGCACAATAGGTCCAAGATCAGTTGTCATCATTCCTGACTTCACAGAGTTCAAAATCAGTTTATCCAAAACTTGTGGATGATGACTTATTCTCTACTCTGCACCATTGATTCCCACAGACACTTCTCTAATCACTACAATTCGAACCTATCCAAATCTAGGGCTTAGCATTATTTTCCACACCTATCCACGTAAACTGTGACTCATATTCCGCATCCCACATTTCCATGAACCAGTTCTATAAAGGCAGTTAATCTTTAGGAACCTATTCTGCTTATTTTCTTTTCAATCTGAGAATGAAAACAAATCACTTTATATCATATCAAAAAGAATTAAACCATTTTGATAATTTAATAAAAACCATTTATTTATTAAGATATTTTCAGATTGAAATTCTGTTCTTATTATATTTCTGTTCAGAAGTATGATGCTTTTTGATTCTAGTGACATCAGCTGTGTTTATGATTTCTTAGCCATATTCGAACTGATTCACTGCAGTCCCAAAGAACTTTCTCTTCCACCAATTATTTCTACACAGCAACCATTATCTTTCTATGAAGTTCTTTTTTACTTTTCTCATAAGATCATATGAGAAATTATATATAAAACTTAATCAAATCTCTTTGTCTCTCATATTTAATGAAGCTTGAATGAAAGAAGGATTGCTGTCTATAAACACTATATATATATATATATATATATATATATATATATATATATATATATATATATATAATGGCATCCAAAATTTTCAGGAACTGGTTCTATAAAGGCAGTTAATCCTTAAGGACCTATTCTGCAGGTAATCATTTGGAACATATTCTGCTTATTTTCTTTTCAATCTGAGAATGAAAACAAATAACTTTATATCATATCAAAAAGAATTAAACCATTTTGATAATTTAACAGAAACCATTTATTTATTAAGATATTTCCTGATTGAAATTCTGTTCTCATCATATTTTTCATCAGAAGTATGATTCTTTTTGACTCTAGTGTCATCAGCTGTGTTTATGATTTCTTAGCCACATTCAAACTGAATCGTTGCAGTCCCAAAGATCCAATGGAAGACCTATCAAATTTACGACGAGAAGATTTGCCACATTTTAAATTCAAGATGATTTCTTTTGGCAGAATAAATTCTGTTAATCCCAAAAGACCCTCTTTCAACCTACGCATCGCTTACAGCAATGGTATTAATTATATTTTTATCTATTACTAGTTTAAAAGCCATCTGATTATAACTTAAGCAAGCTTCTGTGGAGGGTACTTGATTAGGCCTTCATCACAATAGCTAGGGAGGAGTAGATAGGCAACAATAAACTACAGAAGAACTCAAAATTGATCACTGCATTTAAATATTGCATTAATATTTAAGCTTACCTTTTAAAATTCTTCATTAATTTCAAGACAATTTGATGTGTGCTGGTCTTTATTTTCTGTACAAACAATTATTTTTATTTCATGGCTGACTTTCACTGGATTTCACAATTAATTTTTGATTATTCCCAAATTTATTTCTAAGATAAGAAAAAAACTGTCATCATACAAAAAAAATTTGTCGCAAAAAATCACATAAAATTGCCAAAAACAATCGCAGTAATGGAAACTTGGGAATCCCAAATTTTATGATTGTGGATCCAGATTCAGCCTGGAATGTTTTTAATTTGTCCATGGAGTCGGCCTGATTCCAAAATGGTATGATTTGTTGGAGTAAAGTTGAAAAAATGTGACACACTGACATTTGCATTTATTATATAGAAGAATATGAGATATTTAAAAGTCATAAAGTAATGAAAACTTGAGAATCCAAAATTTCAGGTTTGCAGGTCCAGATCCGGCCACCATTGTTTTTAATTTACTCACGGAGTCAGCCTGATTTCAAAATGGTATGATATGTTGAGTTACAGCCTCTAGGAGTAAAGTTGAAAAGGTGTGACACACTGACATTTGCATTTATTATATAGATACATCGGCTATCAATATATAAGATTATTCTTGGATAATCTAAAAACTGGTTTGCTTAGTTTTTATAATTTTAACAATTGGTTCACATGAACTAGTGGGATGTGGCAGGATGCTACCATTTTGTGGAACAGACTCATGCAAGGACACTTCTCTGAACACTACAATCTTAACCTCTCCAAGTCAAGGGTCAACCGTAATCTATCCTCTTTATTCTCATAACTTCCTTGCTTGTTTATATCACACAATTCATTCAGTAAGCCTCTATCTTGAGTGGCTCTTGAGCCTTTTACTGGGTGAACTTTTGGTGACGAAAGGCAAAAAGAAATTAAGAACAACATTGAAAGCGGGTAAAGAATTGGAAAAAAAAATTACTCCGTTTTCTTCTTTCATATACCACGTCCTGCAAGTAGATTAGAAATCATGACTCTCCACAACTTCCTGTCCTTCATTGCTCTAAGTATTGCTTATCCATTCAAAAACCTGACAGGAATTCTTCGAGTTCTATCTTCTAGCATTTGGCCACTCTGGCTATTGGCATCATTACCTCAATCATCTTAAGGGGAGTATTACAATTTACAATCGTCAGCCCAACAACATCATTATCTTCAAAAATAAATTTATTATTATTATTATTATAATTTTAAATTATAAATTAATTTAAATTTTAAATTTAAATTTATTATTATTATTATTATTATTATTGCCTTCTGTAAATGTTACCACTGGCATAGCCATCATCATCACCATTAAGCTTAAAAAGAAAGAGCAGTCACCAGGAAAACACCACTACTATTATCATCATCATGAACAACATTAATATTACTCTGGTAATGATTTTCCCTGTTATCAATGTAAGCAGCACCTGGACAAGCAGCAGCAGCAGCTGTCAGCCTTCTGCCTTCTGAAGCCACTCCCATTTGTTGCATTTTCAACCAATCAGGAAAGAGTAGTTAGCTGAAAGAGCCCAACTACAGTACGATGACGGAAAAATGATACAAGCAGGTCCAGATAATGACTGGGGAAAATCGTGAAAGAGAGGATGGGGCGGAAGGGGAAGCTGACAGTGAAGGAATTGGTGGGGGGGGAGAAGGCGATGGAAGAAGGAGTTTGAGGAAGAATGACTCCATGAGATGGAACCAGTTTGAGTGATCGTATTGACAATGTTGATGGTGACATTAGCGATGCTGTCTGAGAGTAAGAGACGAGAGAGGCATGAAAAGGCTGCACTGGTTGGCCAGGGAAACCGACTGTGAATGGTGAGGACGGGTTGGAAGAAAGAGTTGAGCTGTAGATGCAGGTAAGGAGACCCAGGTGGGGGAGAAGATAGACAGAGAAAAAGAGAAGAGAAGGGAGACTGTTGATAATGATGAAGAAAAACACATTGAAATCAAACAGAGAGAGAGAGAGAGGGGGAAGTAGAGAATAAAGAGAGAAAGCAAAGAAAATAAGAAGAGTGGGATCAAAGAGAGAAAGAAAGAAAGAAAGAAGGAAAGAAAGAACAAAAATTAAAGAGAAAAGGACAAAATAAAAAGGCATAAGAGTAGTAGAGAATAAAGCAAAAGAACAAAATAGGATTGAGGGAGGGAAAGAAAGAAAGAAAGAAAGAAAGAAAGAAAGAAAGAAAGAAAGAAAGAAATGAGAAAAAAGAAAAAGAGAAAGAAAACACAAGATAAAAGAAAGAAAGAAAGAAAGAAAGAAAGAAATAGAATTGAAGAAAACAAAGAAATAGGATTGAGGAAAAGAATGAAAGAAAGAAAGAACAAAATAGGCAATATAAGAAAGAAAGAAAGGAAGAAAGAAAGAAAGAAAGAAAGAAAGAAAGAAAGAAAGAAAGAAAGGAAAAAGAAGACAGAAATCGGATTGAAGAAAAGAAAGAAAGAAATAAGATTGAGGAAAAGAAAGAAAGAAACAAACAAACAAACAACAACATAGGCAATATAGGAAAGAAAGAAAGAAAGAAAAAAAAAGAAAGAAGGAAAGGAAGAAGAAAGAAAGAAAGACAGAAATAGGATTGAAGAAAAGAAAGAAAGTAAAAAAAGATTGAAAGAAAGAAAGAAAGAAAGAAAGAAAGAAAGAAAGACAGAAATAGGATTGAATAAAAGAAAGAAGCCGAAATATAGAAAGAACTAGAATTGAAGAAAAAAAAGACATAGGATTGAGGAAAAGAAAGAAACAAAATAGGCAATATAAGGAAAGAAAGAAAGAAAGAAAGAAAGAAAGAAATAGAATTTGGGAAAAGAAAGAACAAAAGAGGCAACATAAGAAAGAAAGAAAGAAAGAAAGAAAGAAAGAAAGAAAGAAAGAAAAGAAAAGAATTGAGGAAAAGAAAGAAAGAACAAAATTGGTAACATAGAATTGAGAGAATGAAAGGAAGAAAGAAAGAAATCAAAACAAAAGAAAGGAATAAAGATAAATTAAAGGAAGGGAAAACACTGAAGGAAATCTTCAGAAAAAAAAAAAGGAAAAAAAAAAGAAAGAAGCATCATCAGCAGAAATGGAAGAATGGCACAATGCCAAGAAGGAAAAGAATAATGGTAGAATGAACGAGGGACCAAATTAGCCTGGCTGTAAAGAAAGGATGAAAGAAAAACAGAAACGGCTAAGATGAAATGATACAAACACGAGCAAAGATGCTAAAACGACGTTGTTGTTCCCCACACTCCCAGCACATGCCCCGGTCGTCATGTGACTGCAACTGACATTGGTTTAAGAAGGCAAAAATCTTCAACTCTGATTTGAATGCAAGTGACAAGTAAAAACAAAGACTGCAACTGAAAATCTGCATTCATGAAAATGCTACAAGTTGTAAGCACATAACCATATTTGCAATAATGTGCAGGTTTACAAGAAAACAGGTTACATACCGATATTTTATAGTGACAAAAGCTACAATTTGGTGAGAGTAGCAAAATAAATACATACCCACACAAAATAATGTTTATAGTATTAAGAAATATATATATATATATATATATATATATATGAAT